AATACATCTCATTCTAAATCATATCAACCTCATCGTAACCTTCCTTTCATGTGTGCCTTGGGAAAGAGGCAATTTGTTTTTCATAATCCCAAAGATCTGGCGAATATAAATTACAATGTTGGTATTGTATGCGTTTTTAAGAATAATAACCCGGAGACGAACGCTAATTAAATCTTTGAGGGTAAGTCCTTGTTAAAAACTAGCTCGTGTTGTAACCAGAAGCTTTATTCTGCACAGCGGGAGGCGGACTTGATTGACCTAATCTTGGTGGGAAAAGACGCTAATTGGTGGTCTTGTTCGAGTAAGGGTTCTCGACGTATGACACAATAGACGGAAAAAAAATTGACAACTTGAAACTTACCTCAAAAACAAATTGAAATTTTTTTAAAAATGTAGTTTTCTTTCTGTTTTTCTCAAATGGCGCGAATAGAGGTCGTTAATTTAAAACACCGTGGAATCCGATGCGTATGGCCGTTGGTAAACCACGTACGCGGGTCCCACGAGTGCCATGGCCCTCGTCCAACCTATTCAAGTACGGCCTATTGTCCGTCGAAACCCATCACATCTCATACGTGGATATCAATCCTGACAGGGAATAACATCGGTAGCATGATGATATATGTAATATATATATTAATATTGGTTGGCAAGAAAATATTGATTTTTTTACAGTACATATTTTTATTTTTTTAAACCTGACATTTTTTTTAAATATTCAGACATGTATTATCCTTTGCAATTACTTTTTGCCATCTTTCAAGTAGCTTGATGATATATGTAAAAAGTATATTTTAATATTGGTTGGCAAGAAAATACTTTTTCTTACTGCACATATTTTTATTTTTTTAAACCTGGCATTTTTTAAAACTATTTGGAGATGTATTGTCCTTTGCAATTACTTTTTGCCATCTTTCAGGTCGCATGATATATGTAAAAAGTATATTTTAATATTGATTGGCAAGAAAATACTTTTTCTTACTGCACATATTTTTATTTTTTTTAAACCTGGCATTTTTTTAAACTATTTGGAGATGTATTGTCCTTTGCAATTACTTTTGGCCATCTTTCAGGTCGCATGATGATATATGTAAAAAATATATTTTAATATTGGTTGGCAAGAAAATACTTTTTCTTACTGCACATATTTTCCTTTTTTTAAACCTGGCATGTTTTAAACTATTTGGAGATGTATTGTCCTTTGCAATTACTTTTTGCCATCTTTCAGGTCGCATGATGATATATGTAAAAAATATATTTTAATATTGGTTGGCAAGAATATATTTTTTCTTCTAATTAATCCTGTAATAGCAACATGACATTATTTTCTTGCCAAACCAATTACCATAACAGGAAAGAAAGAGCGTTTCTTTTAGAAGAGATCAATTTCTTCATACGTCAATTGAATCATGGGTCAATTAGTGCTATTTCTTGCTTCAATTTGTGTGTAATTTACTAAATGTCTAAATTTCGTTTCGATTAGACGCATCTTGCATCTTAGTAAACACATAAACCCAATTTGTTTCGGGATGGAAAAGCAAGCGTTGCTGTGCCAAACGGCTTGGCAGAAGTTCAACACGTGGACTTGTTTTATTTTTTATTTTATTTTTATTTTTAACACTATTGGGTGTTTATTAATAAAACTGAAATGCAACAATACGATGATCAAATTATTTGGGTGGACTAAAAAATATGTCTAAATTGACTTTCTTTTAAACAACCCTGGTAGATCTTTTGAAGAGTCAGTGCAAAAATTTGAGAAAAACTTAAACGATTTGAAACATCGAAATGATCTTACGACAGATTCGTCAGTACTAATTTATTAAAAATTGACCGGATCGTTAGTACCGTTATTGGGTTTTTGATATTTTGTTCTAGAAATTGATCCATCCGTAGCAGTAAAGCAGGGCAGTCCATCGGCAATTTCCGACAGGCGTTGTAATTTTCCGTTCTGCCTGCTAATTTGCGACTCCCTGCGTTGTTTTATCCTTTGATTCAATCACCGTGGAGACGTGTCCGGAATAGTGACACTAAAAATAACGCTTTGTCGTCATGGTCGGGCGAGAAACGAAAACTTTGTGCGATACATCTCAACTAACTCGAACCAGGGTTGGACTACTTTTTTTTAATCAATGCCCCAAATAAAGACTCAATCCGGGTATAAAGTTAAAGAAACTCTTACGTTCAAACCGAAAATATTGGACATCAATAGGCCGTTTTGTCCATCAGGAGAAAAATAAGAGTTAAAAAATAAAATGTTTAACTCAAAATGTTTTCGTGTAAGATGAAAAAGAGCTTTTATCACTGAATCGGCATGAGAAATCTCCAACTGTTCTAAAACGTAAATAAATACATATTTGATGAGTTCAAGCAAAAATGTATAAACCGATGTAGATGAAAGCTTAAAGCTGCTAGTAGTTTGATTTAACAAGAGTCACAACTTACAGGACTCAGAGGAGTACTCACAATGTACGAAATTGTTGTCGCTCTCTTTACTTGTAAGAAAAATGTATTTTTCTCTTTTTCGACGATTTATGACATAAGATTTATTTTGTGGGGAGAATCAGTTCAAACCAAAGACATACTAATAATGCAAAAACGCCGAATGCTACGTATTGGAAATATGGATGTTAGTAAGCCACTTTTTAAAGCTAATAATATTATGTTGTTCCAATAATTTGTTTATATGTATATGTCAGTTTGCAATATGTTACAAAGAACTAAAATGATACACCTTAATTAGGCAACAACATGATTATCAAACAAGAAATCGGGATAAGACAGAAACCTCTCAGTAGAACATCAAATATTTTAAAAGGTTGTGACGTTCAAAACACAAAAAATATTAATGTAAAAATCTTGAGGCAAAAAGTTTTAAAAGGAAAATACAGAAATGGTTAGTCCAAAATTAGTGTTACAGTTTAGCTGAGTTTTTAATTTAGATGTCTGGTCGAGTAGAATATAATGTGACATGGAAATGTGTGTACGTGAAATATGTAATGATATAATTGAATTTAGAAGTAATGTCAAATATGACCTACCAAATGTCCCTACCATCTCAACCCACCTTTTGAATTTTCCCTCCTTTTTGTCATTTTTCATCTCAACCAATACTTTACATAATTATTAATTAATTGAAAGAGGTTATTTGGCCAATCGGACCACGAAACCTAATGGATTTAATAAGTAAAATGAAGTATATCTTCACTGAAGCTGAAAAATGGCAAAAAGGAGGGAAAATTCAAAAGGTGGGTTGAGATGGTAGGTTGTGCCCGAGTGGTCGGAGTCACGATAGCTCAAGTGGCAGAGCAGCGGCGTATTTAGCCGAAGGTCGTGGGTTCGAATCCCTCTCGTGGCACTGACTTTTTTATCTCAACCAATACATTACATACAGATTAATTATTTGAAAGAGGTTATTTGGTCAATCGGACCACGAAATATAATGTATTTAATAATTTTAATAGTCTACCTTTTGGCTAACTTATTTGGAAATCGATGGGGTTAAAACAACAAGTTAAAAATAAGAGAAAAATCTTTATTTACGTTCGGTGATTTATAGTAGTTCGTTTATCTGAGGGAAAAAACGAGCAAATTTTGGCATCACCCCTGGTCTATTTCTAAACCAAATCCTAGCGTGACAATGGCGAAATTATCAAATCACGTTTGCACGGGGAAAAACAGCGTAGGGAACCCATACGCCAGGATACACCCAAAACCCATCCAGTCCACGGAGAGGCTCGTTCTAATGGAAATTGCTGAAACTCCATGCGAAAACATCCAAGCCCCAGGCGCAATTAGTCAGAGGGGAGCGGTGGCGGAAGTGAACCACAGTGGACCATGATACCATCTCTATATATACACATCCATATATGAATAAAAATCCGACCAAACCATTACAGGTTAATAGCGAGAATTCTTTGATTTCCATATCGTTAGCGATCAAAGAAAACCACAAAGGAAAAAAAACTGACTTAACTATAACAAAAAAATTAACCAATATATCGATAAAATAGAAAACAAATAAAGAACCGTATATTATATTTGATATATTGGGTTGTCCGGAAAATAATGCAGGATTTTGGTATTAAACAAAAAAAAAGAAACTAGTTACTTTAAAGCAATGTTCTTTAATCAAAATAATTTCCCNGACATTCATACAAATGAGTAATCCTGTAAACGTAAACAGAATATTTTATATAGATTTTTTTTAATGAAAACTTAAAATCCTGCATTATTTTCCGGACAACCCGATAATTCATCCTTTATATTTGTCTTTTCACATCATCCTACGCACCTAGGATTCAAATTTACTGTCGTACTGTGTTCTATTACTGCAGTTTTTTTCTTTCGATCTTAGCTTTCGGTATTAGTCAACTGCTCTTTTATCGTCGTATCCTCCAAAACCACTACAGGCAGATCTTCCTGCTGAACGTTCGGTTGCGGTACGGCGTATCACATTCTGCGGTGATTTCCGCTTCGTTCATTCACGCTATCGAGATAGGAGATTCGCCAGAAAAGCGAGAACACACGGACTGGGATTGTCTACCATGAATATGGCCGATTGAAAAACTGGCACTTAATCTATCGCATTTTCCTTTTGCAGAAGAGTCAAAACAGTTGACAGATTTTTATCGCGATGTAAGACCCGTCGAAAGGACCTTCAAGACATCGCGACCGTATTAAAAAAATTTTCAGTTTAAATAGTTTATTTTTCATATGACGAGAAGAGTTAACGGCTGAATAACTTTTTTTTTACTAGAAGAAGGGTGCAACGAGTTATTATTTAGAGCTGCACTGGTCGTTGGGGAGAGTGTTCATCTCGAAGTTCGTCGCCTTTTATCCGTCTATTTTTTACAGGTTAGCTGGTAACATGATTAATGATCCACTAATACCGGGTCGTTCCATTCAACCGTTAATTACCGTAATAAATTCGCAGATTGTGTCATTAGTTGGTAACGGGAGCCGAAAAAGGAAACAAAATCCTCACGGGTTGTGAAGCTTACCTGTAATTCCGGGGGTCCGCCTTCGTCTCTGATGAGGAGGAGGTGGCTTTGTCCGTCCATGAGGACTTCTTTCTTGAACCTTCCTCCTTCGGGCGACTCCTCCTGCATATAGCTGCCGGTCAAGTAGCGGTGGACCAGGGCGGACTTTCCCGACGAGAGGGAGCCGACGATACCCAGCCGCAGGTCCGGCACCACGCGAGAGACCGTCCATTCTTGGCTATTCACGAAAGAATCTGAAAAACAAAACACGAAATAATCAGAAAACATAGAGGAAAAAAAGGGCAAAAATCAATTTTTATTGTTTCATTTGACAAATGCTTAAACAAAATTTTCACTTTTAGACATTTTTTTTCTTGCGACAGGGTTTTTTTTTCTTGAAAGAATCATGTTTAAATATATAAAGTTATTTCAATAAGGTAAATGTCAAAGAAAGGGAGATTTTTCTGATTTTCTTTGTCTTTTGATAGATTTTGAAGATCACGCTTTTCGGCGGAACGGAGCATCACACCTGGGTGGATGACATTTCCACGAAAGCTCGATCGGGCGGTTATCGTCGCCTGTGATCCGCAACAGACGATAGTCCCTTATTCGAACCGTCCAACCGGAACACTGCCGACGTCTGACGCATTTTCCCAGGATATGCCCGGGTCTCGGATCTTCAACCTAAATCAGATGGAAGCCAGTCAAACGATTTGCTATCGCATTACAGGAAACATTGTCGTATGTCAAACTGCTTCGATTGTTAGAGTTGGACCAAAATCCCAACCCGCCTGACACATCACAACTATTGGTCTCGATAATTTAATACTTCTTCAAATAGGAAAAAAAACAGCACTAGGTAGTCCTTGTCCGAACAGTTAAAATGGATCATCATGCTTCTATAATGGTTGGCCGTAATAATCAACCAGAATAATCAAAACATATAACAAAATAGTTGCCTTAAAATCGACATAGCTTGAGATTCCCGAATATCCTGGGGTCCGCTGATTCTCGCTTGTCGTCTGTCCGACCAGAAAATTATCAGTGACGAATCGATCAAGTCCATGGCCTCAAATCTTGCCACTATGTTTTATGATCCTGTGAATGTCAAATTATTAAATAAACGTAGCTAAAGATCGTTTCATGGGCTTATTTTTTAAGTGGCAATGACAGCTTGGTCATTTCAGCCCCGATCGCAAGCGAAATATTGCAACACACATTCATTACACATTCACGCAAATAAATACATTCACACCTATACCCATTGCATTCATTCTATTTGATGGATGCAGTACTCAATATTCCTGCATCAAATACAATAACAAACTAATGTAATTGGGGTCGATGGGCGTACTTTTATAACGATAATTCCGCCAGCGACCCAGTCACATACACAGCTCGAGGGGGGGATGGGGATGCTATTCCACCATCCGCCTCTCCCCATTCACTCTCATAAATACATTTTTGGACCTATTGGTAGTTAGAAAGCTGTTCTACTGTAAATTGTAAATCATCAAATATTTAAAGTTCATTTTTGGTAACATTTAAGTTTAGAATCACCATAGTACGTTTTTCAACTTTGAAAAAAAAATTTTTTCAATGTTCTCGCTACTAAAACGCTTATTTCACAAACGTTTACAAGTTTAGTATTGATCACATCTTATTAGAAATTTAACGAAGTTTTCAATGGTATAAACGGATTTGCCCAAAACCTTTTAGTTTTGAAGTTATCATTGTTTGTTTCAAGAAGGACGTGGAATCTTAACAAATCAGAAAAAGTGAAATAACTCCGAAACTGTTGAATTTCGGCGCATAGTTAATAAGGACTTTTTGGTTACATTTTGATTGTAGAATCTACTGGCAAAGTTTCTAACATGAGTAGCCGATCACCCTATATATCTTATTTAATAAATAAAATTAAAATTAATATTATATATTGCTCATTTCCCTCAAGTTAAAATTTTTAACGAATTGTTCAAACATTATATATTGTTTTCACTGAGAAGATTTATTCGCGTACACGTCCAGTACGATCAATTCAGCACGAGGCGTCTTATCTGCTTTCTTTGCATCCAACCCAGGGCAGAAGAACGAGAGATGAACCATATCATAAACCTGATTTGGTGATGTCACTTCAATTCTTTGCAGACATTGCATGTTGGGCCCATGTCCAGCGAGATTCTCCGTTATATTGAGAGTCAATCCGATCCGGTCTTCTACCTTTTGAAAAAAAAAATTCTCGCTCCTCCCCTTGAGTTAAATTTCTCCACGCAAGATTCCATTTTGTAAGGGGATTTTCGAAAAAGCTTTTTTTAATAGGGATGACTGGTATTTATTATAATCTATTGGTAGTTGAATGTCATGAGCAGTTTCTTTGGCCAGTCGGTACGCTTGTCATTGCTTTGGATATCGAAATGTGCTTTCACCCAAAACAAAACCAATTGTTTTCCAGCTTCTGTCAGATGCTCGGCTTGAACCCTGATATCTTCGAACAACTGTCCATTGTTCTTCGGATTCCTTATTGATCTGATTGCCATCATGCTGTACGAATAATAATTTTCCTAGGATCCCCGCTTGTATGCTTCTGACCAGTGTTAATCCAAATCAAAGCCCTAGATATCGCGAGTTCTTCGGCTTGGTTTGCCGAGTAAATGTTTTCGTTTGTGGTAAATAACAAATGAAAATCCCACGTTTCCATTCTCTTGTTTGCTTCCGTCGGTATATACATTAATTACATTTTCATCTTCATCAATAGATGAAAGGTTTCTAATTTCAACCGTTTCAGCTGGATGCGCCCATGAGCTGTAATGCACAGGTCTATGCATGCCTTCCATAATAACGTTTCCGTGGATTATTTCATAATTTTTGCTCAGCTGCTCGACCTTAAGACCGATAGGAATAATATTGGCAATTATTGACCGATATTCTTCACTGCCTGAGACAACGCACAGACCAAACTCCCAGGATCTAAAGGGCTGAAATTTCGACAGCGCATAAATATAATGACATGGAGAGCCGCCATGAAAAGATTTTTTGAAATTCATTCCTATCTATATAATGTATAAAACAGTTCCGTGACTGACTGAAAGAACGTACAGACCAAACCCCTGGACCTAAAGGGCTGGAATTTCGACAGTGCATACCTATAATGACATGGAGGTAAGAAAGGTGTTTTTGAAATTCCATCCCTAAGGGGATATGGGCAATTATTTACCGTGTATAGACCGAAGAAGAGAATTTGTAAAACAACATTATTTTAGAGCATTATATTAGCATTCTGCATCCCATTAGAAAAGAAGTAAGAATACCGTCCCGCGGGACGAAGTCGGGGGTAAAAGCTAGTATGTTCATATATAGTTTTATATCTATTGTGTAGTTGACAACCTGAAATACAAATGAGAAGCTAGCGCTTTATAAAATCGACTAGTTTTCATTCAGAGGGTCAGTAACAAATCGAAACGCTCAAATGGCTGCAGGCTGAAAAAAACGCTTGAAAGAGAAGTAAAAACACGCGAGGGCAGCGATGACCTCAGTTGTTTGTCGGCCTCTAAACTTCCCACATTATTATTATTGCTCTGGTCCGCCTAATCTCGCTAGTTGCTTTGTATTCGACGATTTGACAGTTTAAAAATGGCCTGACTGTTGTGTTGTCAAATACTAATCGAATTAAACTGTTTTATTTATTTTATCTTTATCTTTAACAATCCTATATATCTATATTTTGTTCGCCTAACAGGCGATAGAACATAAAGCCTTAACCAAAATTCTTCACGCATGAAAAGGTTACATTTTTGTTTAAATGTACCCAAGAATCGTTTCTTCAATACGTCCCTACAAGTACAAAATCAAAACCTAATTACAATTGTAACAAATTAAATTGATGAGGGCTTAGAAGGGCAGTGAATTGTTCTAGGTCATGAGGAACTACTAGCCAAAAGACATTTAAACCGTTCGTTATTTCAAATTATTCTTCTTACGTAAGGTCGTGGTTGAGATGAAAATGTTAGTGTCACGAGCGGGATTCGAACCCACGACCTTTGGCTCAATACGCCGCGGCTCTAACCACTTCAGACTTAGATTCACCCACTCGCTCGTGACTCACCAACTTTTTCATCTCAGCCAAGACCTTACATAAGAAGAACGATTAATTGAAATAAAGAATTCGGTGACTTTAGTCGATTAACCAGGTTTTCCTGGGCTCGCAGACGACCAACGAGAATGGACGTACCTGCTGAACGATCGGAGACGATCAAGCTTAACATCTGTAAATTTATATTTCTGCTTAAATGCAGCTAAAAATGGATAAGCTGGAGTCTAGTTGTAAACATACCAAAATTCTATTTTTTACAAATATAGTTAATATTGACGTTATATAAATTGTATAAATCTTGGAACACTAACCTAGTAGAAACTTCCGTCTAGGTGTTTTGTAGTAGTTATTTATTTCATAATGCGTTGCGCCACGTTAAAAAAAATCTTTCAACAAACACGCATACTCCCAGTGTTTGAACAATCTCCTCGCATGATAGTTCACCCGATCGCAGGTTGCGCAAACAACCGTCATTTCATTAAAAGGTTCATGAAAATGGACGAGACTGGAAGTACAATTGTACAAAAAAGGTCAGTTTCACGATGTGGTGTCACGCCGTTCAATCAAGTGCATCGCTCACTACCTGGAAGTGGCTTGCCCCGATTGATCAGGCTGATTGACTAAATTGACTGCATCCTAAATTCACTCCTTCCGTCTACACGTGTCTGGTTTTCCTTTTCCAATGAAGCGATCGGTATACAATTGCGAACAGTTCAACTGTATTAACTCGACTTGCGATAATTATTACAGGAACGTCTGAATTTTCCCGAGCTTCCGTGACGTCGTGTGGTGCCATTTCGGTGCCGATTCTTTAATATTGATACGTCCGTGAGCCACGGGTTGCGTGTGGTGTACAACATTCAAACTAGGTTGGTGTTATACATCTTGGTAAATAACGTTAATATTCCAGTAGCCCGAGGTCGCATCGCCCCGGGTATTTTACGCGGCCTCCTCGGCATTACTTGTTAATCCACTTTATGGATTGCTCTGAGGTATATTCGGAAATATGGCCATTTAGAATTAGAACCAACCAAGAGCCTAATTTTTATCAGAATTGTGAAGTAATCATGTTTTTTATTGCGAACCAGAGTCCAAAGATAATTATTATTATTTCTTTCGCCTAGTCGAAGCATAAAACACCTTTTTTCAATCTAAATTCGGACA